AAATAAATAAATAAATAAATAAATAAATAAATAAAAATTTATTCAAGAGGTAGATAAGGGGGAAAAAAGGTTGAAGACCATTGTTCTAAGCTTTTTTTTTTTCCTCAATTTTACCACTTAAGTATGTAGAATGAGGAAATAACACCTGAAGACTTCCTGGTAATTTTCTTATTGAAATTTATTTCTATCTTCACAAAAATATGTGTCTACATTTTTACCATTTCTACCAATATTCCTCCTATAAACATTCACCATCCTCAGATTTAATAAAAGCTACGAGAGAAATGAGATGCTGCACAAGAGCTCTTAGAAAGTCACATCTGAGTGAAGGACTTTGTCTTTCTGTTCTCTGCAATTTGTGAACTCTGTTTTGAGCTTTTACCTTTCTGGTAAATATGGAGGTGTACCAACAAAGAACGCAGTATGACAAATCCAATAAATTGACTATGGATAAAATAAGAATTTAAAGCCCAACAACAAAACTAATCTCTAGTGTCACAAGCAGTGAAAGTGTTATCCTTGAGACTGGTGGTGACTGGAAGGGAAGAGGTGGCAGAAGGAGGTGTTTCTAAAATATGTAGCTTTGAATTCTCTAGAAGCCACATTTTAAAAAAACTTTTTAAAATTAATTTTAATGATATATTTCATTGAACCCAATGTATCAAAAACATCATCATTTCAACATGCAATCAACATAAACACTTGTTAATTGCACACTTTACATTTTTTTTTATACCCTGTGTTCAAAATCCTGTGTGTATTTTATACTTATAGAATATTTAGATTCGGACAATGAATTTTTAACGAAAATACTTGATTTGTTTTAGAATGCATGACATTTGTAGTTGGAGAAGTAGATTCACATACCCAAGTTGTTCCAAATATACATAAAGGTTTTCCAAAAGTTAAGATTAAACATATAGGGCCGGCCCGGTGGCGCACTGGAGAGTGCGCCGCTTGAGAGCGCGGCGGCACTCCCACCGAGGGTTCGGATCCCATGTGGAGACCGGTTCCTGCTCATTGGCTGAGCGTGGTGTGGGCGCAACACCGAGGGTTGCGATCCCGTTGCCGGTCCCCAGTAC